AAGCTAAGATCTTATCAAATTTACTCTCTAGCAATGTTTTAAATCGTTCGTACCCCTGAGAAAACTTCCCTGAACCCCAACGCTTTCTTCCTTATAGATTCACACCGTTTTTATTTCAAGCTTTAGTTCAATATTCTCATTCCTTTTTAATCGATTTTCATTTAAGCAATTAGATTAGCCGTTTTTCTCATTTTTACCCGTTTTCGTTAAGTTTAGTTCTTAGGTCATTTTAATTCCCGTAGTTTATTTTTAGATTTCGTTTTTACAATTTAAATACACCACCAAAACCCCCCCACAAAACCGTTTGGTTCTAGACTTCCTTACTTTATATTTCTTTCGAAGGCTTTTGCAGGAAAGATCCTCTTTCCCTATGGATTCGATCCCTAAGTACTACAATCGATCAGCTGTGCACTTGCGGCTATTGATTTCATTTAGGGTAAAACTTGACAACCCTCAACACGACAGCACACATCAGGGAGACAACGTAAATCACTTGGTGCATATCAAGTCTCAGATGGCGGTTCAGCGCCTAGAAGATATGCGGACACGATATGGTTTTCGCAGCGAGCTTAGATCGTCAGGTCCTGATGATCGTCTATGGCGAGCTCCGGAAGGCTGGGTTACGCTGTATGAGGCTTGAGTTAGCCTTTGTAACCTTTGGGTCCCTTTGCCGAGGTTTCTAACGGACTACGTCGACCGACAAGGTATCGCATTCTCGCGGATTCTTCCAGCGGGGATTTGGTTTATGGTCGCGACCCTTCTTTTTGGGAGCGAAGTCGGGGTTAATGTCGACTGGCGCTTCTTCGAGGAGATGACTACCGTCCAGAGGAATAACTCAATCCCGGGTACTTACAAGATTAAGGCTCGGAGGAATTGTTCTCTCGTTTGCCCCGTCAACAGAACGCCGAGTTGGGAGGCATCCTTCTTTTATGCCAAAGTTGATGAGTCTCTGGTCGTTGATACGACCAGAAACTTTAGAAGTGAATGGAGCAGAAACATTGGTAGATCGTTAGCTCGATCGATCTTTTGGTTTTCCTTCATCTCTTACTAACATCTCAACTTCTCTTTGCAGATCGAAACGTTAACCTTGACGCATACCTAGAGAACTACTTCGAAAATCTCCAAAGACTCATATCTTTTGGAATTCAAAAGTGGCCCGACATTCACTGCCAGAGAGTCGAAGCTGCTATCACCCGCATCACAAACGGTAAGTGAACTGCTGTCGATGTTTCCACATTTTCTATATCAGTCTAAAAGCTATTATGTTCCAGCTAGTTAAAGAAGAGAAAATCTTCCAAGGGAGAGATCGATTGAAATGGCCCCAATTCAAGTGAATGCGCCCAGCATTGCGCGAAGCTTAAGGCTAAGAAGAATGGAAGCCAAGATCAACGCCCTTCCGCTTCTCGATCAGAACGTTCGGAGCAGATGCCGACTGTTCAGGAACATGCCGAGGTCGTTCCTCAACAGGATGTGAACCTTGCATCTATTGCTGAAGGTGATGTCAAGACTCAGGTCACCTTTAAGGTATGTCCGGAGTTTATATTCAATATTTATGTTTGTGGTTGGTTGTTCGTGAGCTCGACTTAGGTGATTTCCTCTATTCTTGCTCAGTTCACTGCGAGCTGCAATCGCACAAAGGGCCAATACATGCGCTGGCTTCAAAATGCCCCTACACGATTGAAGAATGCCCAAACTGCCGGTCAAAAGGCAGTGGCCAAACGCGATGTCGCGCTTGCTCAGCGGAGGGTTGCCGAAGATAACTGGCAAACAATGAAGAAAAGGGCGGTGCAGTTGGATGTCGGGGTGAAGGAGTTAACTGGGAAGATCAGGGATATGAAGCTGGAGAATCTAGACTTAGTCAAGAATCTTCAACTGGTTAACGAGGAAAAGATTCAGGCTGAGAAGTCAGTCGCTACCGAGGTTGCTCGCGCGAAGCGACATGCTGAAGAGAAGATTGAGATGGAAACCACTCGAATCTGGGTGGAGGCTGAGAATAAGTATTTGGGTCGCTTAATCGGCTGCGAACCCACGTCACTGAGCAAGAGGCCATTCAAAAGGTGAAGATAGATCTCGTTCAAGCTCAAGGTCCTCTTGAATGCCTCGGCCTTATGAAGGAGAAAGAGATGACCGAAGCGGAGCTGAGAGCTGAACTCGAAGCGACGAAGCGCGAATGTGAACTGAAACTGGAAAGCTTCAGTCTGGCCGATCTCAAAGAAGGTGACTTGCTCCCACCGTTTTCATGAGACCCCAATGGTGGCTCGCACGGTGACAAAGATGAGAATCGAGAATATCTTGAAGGCGATGTTCAGTCTTAGGAATAAATCCTCCCATTTTCGTTGTTATTGCACCTCGTTTTCTTTGTCCCTAATGAAAATTATTTCTTCAAGTAACAGCTCGCTCCGAACTTATACTATTTTGTTATTCAAACCATAATTGGGATGTAGAAAAGAATTGTCGTATTCCATTTCCTTTTGCGAGTCTGTGCTCGGCTTAATAGAACAATAGTTGCGAGGTAAAACTCGGCTTAATATAACAGTAGGTGCAAGGTAAAACTCGGCTTATCCAGTTTTATTTCTTGAATTGTATCTGAATAGTGAAGGTTGTCTTCTACGTATTTATTCGGGCGATTTAAGAAAACATGCGAGACTGGCCCCGACTTATTTTCTTACAAACATAAGGTTTTTGTTCCTCAGGATTTGTTAAGAAATTGCATTGTAGAGAAATGCGTGTTTGAAGATCGCACACGTAGCTACAATGCTGATGTAAAATATATCGAGCCAAGATTTGTCGAGAAAAGTAATTGTTATTTATAGCTGTACCTTGAAAGAGGCTGCCTACGTACTCAACAAATTGTGATCAAGCCAATTGTAGTTCGCATCTGAAATATAGTTCGACCGAGTATAGCTCGGTCAAGCAGGTATCGACGCCTCGTCTGTTGTTGTAACACGAGAGACTATCGCATTGAATCTGCTGATGAAGGAGCGTAGATATTCCTTCTCCCCTTGTTTAATCTGATAAAGGTTAGCGTTAGACACCGCGCCTTGTATGTACATCATGTATCGCTTGAGAAAGGCTGTCGACAGTGCTTGGTAGCTATCAATCGTGTTAGTTTTAAGTTTTGAAAACCAGACAAGAGCTGCACCGCTCAGGTTTTCAACGAAGAGTTGATAATATCCAGCATGTTTTTCTTCGGGTGTAAATCGAGCTTGTCCCATTTGGATGCTGAATGCAGTCATGTAGTGACTTGGGTCCGAATTTCCAATATACGTTGGCAGATAGAATTTAACATGATTACGCACCGGGAAATTAGTGATCCGAGTCGTGAATGGGGTACTTTGGCTTTCTTTCAATACCCGATCGACTTCTAGAGCCGAACTAGTTGCCTGATGAACCAGCAAGGTCATAGCTTGTAATTTCGCTCTCATCTCTTCCATTTCTTCTTCTCGTGTAGAAATTTTATTAGATTGACCTCGAAATTCGTGGTCAGACGTTCACGTGTTCTCCTCATCGCCGTTCGAGGTCGGACGGGCTGTTGGTGGGGTTGGTGAATCTCCAAACAGGTCGCGCTGCAGGTGTTGGGGTTCCTGATTGATTTGTCGGTCTGGGGCTTGAGATTCAGATGATTGAAGGGTATTCACTTGATCTTGGCATGAAATTTGTGCTGCAGCCAGCTCGTCAAGGCGGGCACTAGTCTGACGATTCATTTTTTCCTTTCTACTTATCATGTTTTCGAGTATGATCGAGACATCGGCGCGAACAGGCGTTGTCTGATTCGTAGCTGATGCTATCGAGGTTGGGAATGCATTACCTTCTGCAGGAGTCGACGTTGGCACGCTTTCATTCGAGGTACCTGGATTATTAGTTAACGATACATTGGTCTCTTTTCCTGTAGTCATCTCTTTAACTGGGTCTCCTGACATTATCGAGCTACTCTGTGCGTAGAAAGATATCTCTCTGCCCCACGGTGGGCGCCAATTGTTTTTTCACAATTGTTCAAGAGGTTATTTTAGTAAATGTCAAGGGGTGAGCTCGGGGATTCTTGATTAATAGAGTTAAGCTTGATAAGATTTAATTAAACGAGGTCGTTTAGCGAGGTAAAAGATAGTATTTGCAGTTTTCGAGTTGCGAGCTCTTAGTCTTTATTCCTAATTACGGATAGCATAATAAATAAAGTTACAGGGCCATTTCTAGTAACGGAATTAGGTTACATCTCGGTCAGGATAGGTTGGTCGGTCGGGCAGATAGACCTAACTGACCGTCTATCTAAACATCGCGGTGGTGAGCTGCTTAATCCTCGTCGACATGGGGAGCTGGTTTCAATATCAGCAAAGCTCATCACAGTAAAACGACCTTGTTTTACCAGCTCAAAGGGCTTTTAATGGGCCTCGATTCCAATGGGCTTCACAGGTTTAGTGATGGGTCGAGCTAATATTACGAAAAGGGGGCTGTGCTCAGCCCACCTACAACAGATCCCACGTTATAAGCCTGGAACGGAGGAACTTAACGATCCTAATGTGTTACAAAGTAATCATAACCTATCACGTTCTAACTCTTTCTCCAAAAAAAAAAAAATTCTATTCTAATTCTTTATTTCTCTTTTGTTTTGATAACATTTTGCCTTTCTTTTCTTACGTAATATATTTATATGTGACGTAAGACAATGTTAAAATAGAAATAAAAAAAATCTTGATACTAACAAAATTCATTTCAATTTCAAAATGAAGAGATCTATGTGACTACGGCATGAACAAAAACTTCACCTGTCCATAATTTACAATTTACATTTTGCATTTCATACAAAATCCTAAATCACAAATTTAAAATGTACCTAGACACATCTATTCTTGATCCAAAACCATAGGCAAAATATTTTTTTTAAAAAAGGAAAACTAGCCCAATTACTAAGAAGCCGTCTCTTATATAAGAGTTTTAAGACACGGATTCTTAGAGCACATGGAACCTTGTACACATTTTATTATTTTTTAATTGATATTTCGAGCATTTCTAATTTGTCGATCATTTTCTATCCATGTTTTTATTTCACGACAAGTTCTCTCGGCCGACGATTCTGTTCGACGTTGAGCTTCCATGAATCGAATCCGGCAGGCATAACCGACAGTCGACGATCCATTTCATTTGTCCAGGTAAGACTTCCTCCATTCGTTCCTGCATTAGATTTGAGTGTGTTAATTCTGCAATCAAAATTAGAGTTTTCGGAAATTCGGCAAAATTTTTGGGTTCTTTCGATTGAGTTTAAATTGGGTTAAGTTCGATGAATTATAAGTATCTATGTGTTTATTCGTAGCCATATTCGAAACCAAAAATTATGTTACAGTGTTTCATCCGAAAACGAAATTAGGGTATTTCCAAATTGGGGGAAAAATTTGGAGTTATTTTGTTCGGTTTGAATTGGGGTTATTTCGATCAATTAGAAGTCATTGTGTGTTTTATCTTAGCCATTATAGAAGACGATTTAGGTTTTTCTGTGTTTCATTCAATAGTACTATGTTTGCTTTGTCAAAGCGTTTATCACGATGTTAATGAGTTAATCGGTTCTCTGTTGATGTCTGAAGGGTTAATGGATACCTTAATATTCTTATTCTTTGTTGTGTCAATTATTTCTCTTTGCAGTATCCATGATTTCATGTTGGTTAATAATGTAATAGCGGTTGTACTAGGTACTCTTCGTCAATGTAATGTTTGGTTTTCTGTGATTACTTATTCTTTATGCTTAATGTGGAATAGTCCTTGGTTCTTTGTTTGTATATTTAGTGTGCTCAGGATTTCTTTATTACATATCGCAACTTAGTTATCTTATACATTACATTTAGTTCTGTCAATAATCTTCGCTATAGTCTTGATTTGTTTGATGGTTGATGTCGGAATTTTATAGTTTTGATTGTAGTTGCTTCTCTTCATCTTTGTTTGATATTGTTTGATGATATATATATATATAAATATTATATATATATATATATATTTTGTTTTTTAATAACTAAGAGGTTCTGTGCCTAACCCCGTACATCCTCTCAGGCCCGGTACCAGAGCATGTTATATGGTCCCATCCCAAGAGCCACTCGAACCAGCAACCTCTAGGATTTGCCTGAGTTTGATGATAAATTTTTTTATGGCCAGATTATGTCGATTAGCTACAGCGATACTTCATCGGAAGGTCCAGACATGGACATGTGATCAGCTTATGCGGATGCAACATATGGAATTACTGAGAAGTGCTTCTGCGGAAGGCAGATGATACTTGAATCTTTCTCATAGGGCCGCAAGTATTATACTTGTCCTGACTGGCTGAAAGAGGTTAGTTGTCTTTTATATTTTTGTTGATGTTGCTATGTATTTTTGAAGAAATAGTTTGATAAAACTACTCAATGTTTGTAGGGGACTAGTGAGCATAAGTGGCAATGGTGGGATGAGGCAGTCACCGAACAATTCTCAATCGTAGAGACAAGGCTTCGAGAGCAAAGGGAGCTGATACTCAGTGTAGACAGGCACCAGATCAATGCCTTGGATCCCACCCTTGGAGAAATAAATCAAGAAGTAAGACGACTTCAAGGAGAAGTCTCCATGCTGAAGGAGTACATTGGTAACCAAGGTGAAGGCTTTATGATGTTGCTCTTTTTTGTGTTTTCGTAGCTGTTTCATACATGTTTAAGTAGTAGCACTGAGTTGCAAATACTATCTACTATGTGTAGTCGTTAATGTTCCCTTCGAGGCTATGTAGTCAGACAAAAAATGTTTTAGGATTCTTTATTTAGCATCATGTGTGTGTATGTTATCTACCCTCTAAGTTATGAACCTATGTGATAAGTTATTGTTTTAATAATGTGGGCATATATTATTGTGTTGGTTGCTTGGTTGATTTAGAGTATTCGTAGTTATTACTCTTGGTTTAAATTGCTCACATTTGTTTTTTTTATTAGTGAGGTTAACTCGTGGAACTACTGATATCTGGTTGTATAAGCTCCAAGTTATAGATCTACGAACTATGGTTACTCCATTTTGGAGAGATGTGTGAGTTTCTCGGTATGATATGAAGCATTGATTGTACGCATTGGGTATAGAAAAATTGCCCTACAGCTTAGAAAGGGCAATATACCCATGGTGTAGCAAAACCGACAATCGTCTTAGAGGCTGTAGTATCACAAGATCTTTGGATATAGCCCGCTTTTTTGGACCTCCAGGTACCTTAAACGATAGTAATGTTCTTGATCGTTCACCTGTTTTTGATGAAATATTGAAAGGTCGAGCTCCAAAAGTGCAATACTGGGTTAATGGATGATGTGGTGTGTGTCGAGGGTGTCAAGTTTTACCCTAAATGAAATCAATAGCCGCAAGTGCACAGCTGATCGATTGTAGTACTTAGGGATCGAATCCACAGGGAAGGAGGATCTTTTGCTGCAAAAAGCTTTTGAAATAAGTTAAAGTAAGGAAGTCTAGAACAAAAACGGTTTAGTGGGGGTTTGGTAGTGTCTTTAAAATGTAAAAAACGAAATATTGAAAGAGAATACGGTAATTAAATGATGTAATAACTAAACTTAACGAAAATAACTAAAAATGATAAAAACGGATATTCTAATGCTTAAATGAAAATGAACTAAAAAGGAACTAAAGCTTAAAGAAAAATCGGTGTAAATCAATGGAGAAAAGGCGTTGGGCTTCAGGGAAGTTTTCTCAGGGGTACGAACGATTCAAAACATTGCTAGAGAGGAAATTTTGTAAGATCTTAGCTTAAACTTTTCGAACTGGAGTCACGAACGTATGAATACGCCACTGTCGTGATCATAGACAACTATCTCTCTCAACCCTGACCAGTAGGTTTCCACTCTGGCCCTGGAAGAGAAGAGATGCATTATGTTAAAGATTCGTCCTAATTCACAAATCGCCCATAGGTAGGTTTCCACTCCTATGTTTTTTTTGCTCTCCCAAACTAGATCTGATACCTGATGAACACTTTCGTGTCACCAAGCATCTGGATCAGATTGTAGTTCATGACGCTACTCTCATGCAGTAAAAACGAATTCAGAAGAAAAAGTTCTAAGATTCGGCTCAAAAACTCATGGAATCCTCATCGAACATATAAATCCCCATCGAAAATCCCTTAATCCCAACAATAGAACTACTCAGACATAATAAACGAAATCAAAAACATAGTATTAAGAAGTAGAATAGAAACCGAAATTGAAAAAGAAAGAACAAGGATTCAAGAGAACAAATCTCTCTCTCCCTAAAAGCTAAAGCAAAAACAATAAAAAGTATGAAGTAAATATTTCGGTGGTCTTGAGGTTACACGATTTAGGGTTCCTAAGACATGTATTTATAGTGCTCAAGACCTCTCTGGACGTCACTTAGGGTTTCTCCAAATGTGGGCTTCAGAAATGGGCTTTTTGGGCTCGGAGGTTGATGGCCGCGGTCGAGAGTGCTCTGACCGCGGGGAATGGGTGGTTTGCCGCAGTCGGGATGCTCCTGACCGCGGGAAAATGCTTGCTGGCCGCGGGTGGAAGTGCTTGCCTGCTGGTTTACGGGACATCTTGCTCTTCGCGTATCTTTTGATTGAAACGTTGGATTGCCAAGCTGTAAAGTGCACTGGAAAGCTGATACTTCCATCTTTAAGGTCTACAAATTTGAGCTGGATCAGACGGTGAGAAGGTCTTCAATCATGGGTGAACTTCTGACGGTTTAACTCTGAGCTGAAATCTGGTTTTCTATCCATTTTGTTAGGCTTTTCCCTAAGTTACCTGAAAAGAGTCTTGGAACTACAAATACTAAAAAAACAGAATAAAAGTACTTAAAACCAATTAAAAACATAGAAAAAGTATTTCAAAACGATCCATAAAAATGGTCAAAATACGGTGTTATCAACTCCCCCAGACTTAAACCTTTGTTTGTCCTCAAACAAAGCAAAAACCTAAACTGGTTAAATGAAAACAAAAATAGGAAATGCACAAATCTCATAGACATGAACTCTAAACTAGGACCAAAGATAGTGCATCAATCCACAACTTAGTCTAGAAAATTCTCACCAAAACACAAGAGATACTAGTCCACTTTTTCCGTCATGCAAAACTTAAACAATTTAAATCTTGATTTCAGTCAACTAGCTCTCTACATTCATTAAGTTCAATAGTGAGTTCTCATTAAAGACATCATCCAGGGTAGATGGCGTTTGGCATTAAAGGGCTATTTAAGTGGTGGAGTTAAAGTGTTTCGGGTTACCTGAAGATCTGGAGGATGCAAGATAATATGCAAAACCGCAAGAGAGATAAGGACATGTTGATGACCACAGTTTTCAGTCACTTTCTTCTTGCCAAATGTTGTTGCATAATCTTTCCTCTTTTGTTGTAAACAGTTATTCCCCCAGACTTAGATTCTTTTCGGGAATCAGAAAACAATCTCCAAAACTCCATAAAATCGAACTCCAGTTGCCTTGGGACTTAAAATTCGACCTCTCTAGACTCTCTAAGGCTTTTATTTCCTTTCTTTTCTTATTTTTGGATTTATTTATTTATTTTTTTTTTTTGGAAAGGAAATGCCTTTTAAAGAGAGAGAGACTAGAGGACGAGATTGTACCAAAATTTGAGATTTTTCTAAGGCAAACTGGGCTTCCTCTTTTGTTGAATCCTTCCGGGAACTCTTTCCGGCAAATTGCAGGTCTCTGTCCTTTGTGACTGAAAACTGTGTCGTTCCTCTTTCTCTCCGACGTTTTTGCACTTATCTGCATATAAGACAATAGGAAACAAGAGTGCATGTGGTTTTAAAGAGGATTGGTTAACGTGGGGAACTAGCTAAAGATGAACTAGCCATTCAGGATCAACAGAGAGTGGTAAAAGGATAAAGGAGTCCTGAATGTATGATTCGTTTTCCTAGTCTAATGCTTCAATGAGAAAATTAAGTCCAAATTAAGTCCAAATAAAACAGAGCTAGTGTATCCCTTCATCTAAATCGAAATCATTTAAATTCCTCTGGGGTACTTCGTTTCAAATGTGCTTAGCTACCGCCTAGTCTAGTCCTAAATCATGAATGAGCAAGTCACTAGGAACAGTCTAAAGCACACAGTCAACTATCATTGATTCATGTTCACCATTCCCTTTTAAAACGTATTTTGTTTTGAAAACCGATTTTGAAAAACTTTAAGGAAAATGCAAAAAATGTAGATAATGCAAGACTCATGAAAGAAAGGTGGTTAGAAAGGGATGAAATCCTCCCCCAGACTTAAATCACACTGTCCTCAGTGTGAAACAAGTCGAGATTGGATGAGAAAAATGCATAGATAATCGAATTGGTAAGGACAAAGAGAACTTATCTGGATCCGGGATGCTGGTGGAGATGAACCGGATTCATTCGAAGGGGTTTGGGAAGGTGGTTGGTGGTGATGAAGGTGGTGGAAGGTGATGAATGAGGTGGAGGGTGATTGGTGAGGTGAAATGAGGTGAAAGGGGTGGTTTTGGTCGGGTTTGGATCTCAACGACCAAGTGCCGCGGTCAGGGGCTGCACGACCGCGGCAACCAGGTGCTTGGCCGCGGTCAGGACTACCCGACCGCGGTCGAAGGGCTGTTTCCCGCGGTCCGAACACTTGCGACCGCGGGGGCTTATATCGCGGCCTCTTCCTGCTTCTCCTTGGTTCCTGCTGGGCCGAGCAGTCAGGTACTATCCTTCTTTTTGGTCTTTTTGGGTTTTTTGATTTTTTTGGCTTTTTTGTTTTATAAGAAACACCTGAAACTAAGAAAAAGAAAAGGATCAAAAGAAAAAGAAAGAAAAATCCTAAAGAAATCAATACCTAAATGGGTTGCCTCCCAAAAAGCGCTTTTGTTTTAAGTCGTTTAGCTCGACTTTTGGTGTTGGACGTGACTTATTCCAATGAAGAAGACCTTGTCCTCAGACAAGTCTTTTTCGACATCTCCTTGCTTTGCCTAGCAGGTTCTTCGTCACTCCAAAGTTCTTCTTCAAACTCTCCTGTTGCAGAATGTTTTCCTGCTTTGCTGTTGTATGGGACAGCTTCTGTGAAGACATCTTTGTCGATATTAGCAAATGAAATCCTCCGGTTTGGCCAGTCCATTATAGCTTCGGAAGTTGCTAGAAAAGACCATCCGAGAATTACTGGATATGTTGCGTCTCTCGTCTCGACAATGTAGAAGTCGACAGGCACTATGCAATCTCTTATTCTCAAAGGAATTTCATGAGCTATTCCTTGAGGTGTTGCATTTGAATCATCAGCTAGGCTAATATTTGCTCTAGTCCTGCGCAGGTGTCTAACACCAAGTCTCAAAGCAATTGCCTTGGACATCATGTTAAGACAAGCTCCAGAATCACATAGCACATTTTTAAACATTTCTCCTCTAATAGAACAAGAGATAAGAAACTGACCTGTAGTCTTGACCTTATGGAGAATTCGAACTTGCCTTTCTCTGTAGGTGTTGGCTGGTGTCTCGAACGCAGAATAAGATTCACAAAAGAAAGCTGCAGCGTCATATTCAATGATTGAATCAATGTATGGCATCTTTATCTCGCTGCACGTCTGGTCTTCTTGGATTGAAGAGTCAGCTGAATCTTCAACACATTCCTTTGCCATCATACAAGGTAATGATTCATGCCAATCTGGTTCTTCATCTGAAACTTGGTTTTCTTCTTCCTGAGTTGCTTTTTTAGGTGCTGGAGGCTGAAGTTGGGACAGAAGGTGTATTATTTTCCTCTCAAAACCCGGAGGAGCATCTGAGCGACCAACTCCCGCGGTCAGAGGGGTCGCGACCGCGGGAAACAAGGCTTTGGCCGCGGTCGAAACACTCGGACCCACGGCTCCGGATAAAATCTGCTCATAGTCTGTCTCTTCCTTCTTGTACTTGATACGAACCTCTCCAGCTTCTTTATTGGGTAGACTAGCATCATATGAACTAATACCAGGGCGTTGATGTGCATCTTCATCAGGATTTTTGGGAGATTTCTTAGAAAACCTCTCAATTTGCTCAATGTTGGGCATCTGCTCCATTCTTGCATCAATCTCCCGTGCTTTGAGCTCGAGTTTGTTCAGTCTGTCCTCGATCTCTTGCAACTCTTCGTCTGTCTTCTCTCTATACCAGGAGGCGGATTCTCTGACGTCTTTAATCTCCTGTTTTGATTCAGAAATATCGCTTGAGTTTTGTATGATGTCATACCCTTGTCTTGTCTGCTCTGTTGCGACTTGGTGGATCATTCCAGCTAGTGTTTGTGAGTCCTCGTGGGTTTGCTCTTCCAAAACTCGAACATGATTGGCCATCTCATCGAATTTTTTGTTGAACTCTTCAGAGATTGAATCAATTTTATTGAGCAGGGTGTTTTCGGTGAGAATCTGCTGATCAAGGAACTGGTTTATCATTCCTTCGAGGCGTCCCAAACGTCTGCTGATCCTCAAGTTGTCCTCTTGCTGACTAGGGTTCTGTAGTGGAGGATTATAGGAGTGTGGCTCGAAGTAGGTTGGAGGAGGGCCATAAGGATCTTCCCGGCGTCGAACAGTCTCTCTTCGCCGGTGGTAAGGGTGGTTTTGCTGGCTGTATCGATCCATGTAGCTAGGATTTCGGGCCTGGTGTTCTTCTCTACGTTTGGTGGCTTGAGGAGTGTTATAGAAACCTTCTTCATAGTGCATATTTCGATTTATAGGATCCATATCTTCTGAAATGAAAACAAAATAACCGAAAAATGGAAAGTTGCAGAAAAGGGAGTTCTAGAGTCGATTTACTAACCTTTGTCGGGGTTTTGCAGAAAAGAAAACGCGTGCCTTCCCCGGCAACGGCGCCAAAAACTTGATGTGGTGTGTGTCGAGGGTGTCAAGTTTTACCCTAAATGAAATCAATAGCCGCAAGTGCACAACTGATCGATTGTAGTACATAGGGATCGAATCCACAGGGAAGGAGGATCTTTTGCTGCAAAAAGCCTTTGAAATAAGTTAAAGTAAGGAAGTCTAGAACAAAAACGGTTTAGTGAGGGTTTGGTAGTGTCTTTAAAATGTAAAAAACGAAATATTAAAAGAGAATACAGTAATTAAATGACGTAATAACTAAACTTAACGAAAATAACTAAAAATGATAAAAACGGATATTCTAATGCTTAAATGAAAATGAACTAAAAAGGAAAGACAATATTGAACTAAAGCTTAAAGAAAAATCGATGTAAATCAATGGAGAAAAGGCGTTGGGCTTCAGGGAAGTTTTCTCAGGGGTACGAATGATTCAAAACATTGCTAGAGAGGAAATTTTGTAAGATCTTAGCTTAAAATTTTCGAACTGGAGTCACGGACGTATGAATACGCCACTGTCGTGATCATAGACAACTATCTCTCTCAACCCTGACCAGTAGGTTTCCACTCTGGCCCTGGAAGAGAAGAGATGCATTATGTTTAAGACTCGTCCTAATTCACAAATCGCCCATAGGTAGGTTTCCACTCCTATGTTTGTTTTGCTCTCCTAAACTAGATCTGATACCTGATGAACACTTTCGTGTCACCAAGCATCTGGATCAGATTGTAGTTCATGACGTTACTCTCATGCAGTAAAAACGAATTCAGAAGAAAAAATTCTAAGATTCGGCTCAAAAGCTCATGAAATCCTCATCGAAAATATTAATCCCCATCGAAAATCCCTTAATCCCAACAATAGAACTACTCAGACATAATGAACGAAATCAAAGACATAGTATTAAGATGTAGAATAGAAACCGAAATCGAAAAAGAAAGAACAAAGGTTCAAGAGAACAATCTCTCTCTCCCTAAAAGCTAAAGCAAAAAAAATAAAAGTATGAAGTAAATATTTCGGTGGTCTTGAGGTTACACGATTTAGGGTTCCTAAGACATGTATTTATAGTGCTCAAGACCTCTCTGGACGTCACTTAGAGGTTCTCCAAATGTGGGCTTCAGAAATGGGCTTTTTGGGCTCGGAGGTTGATGGCCGCGGTCGGGAGTGCTCTGACCGCGGGGAATGGGTGGTTTTCCGCGGTCGGGATGCTCCTGACCGCGGGAAAATGCTTGCTGGCCGCGGGTGGAAGTGCTTGCCGGCTGGTTTACGAGACATCTTGCTCTTCGCGTATCTTTTGATTGAACCGTTGGATTGCCAAGCTGTAAAGTGCACTGGAAAGCTGATACTTCCATCTTTAAGGTCTCCAAATTTGAGCTGGATCAGACGGTGAGAAGACCTTCAATCATGGGTGAACTTCTAACGGTTTGACTCTGAGCTGAAATCTGGTTTTCTATCCATTTTGTTAGGCTTTTCCCTAAGTTACCTGAAAAGAGTCTTGGAACTACAAATACTAGAAAAACGTAATAAAAGTACTTAAAAGCAATAAAAAACATAGAAAAAGTATTTCAAAACGATCCATAAAAGTGGTCAAAATACGGTATTATCAATGGACACGAGTATTATTTGGCGTACTACTTTATGGATGGTATATATCCAAAATGAGAAACTTTTATCCAATCTATTCCACTTCCTCAAGGTACGAAAGCATCATTATTTGCTACATCTCAAGAATCCGTCCAAGAAGATGTCGAGCGTGCATTTGGAGTGCTGCAAGTTCGATTTGAAATTGTAAAAATCCAGCTCTTATATGGGATAAGGAAAAAATTGGAAAGATTATGAGAGCATCAATCATAGTAGAAAATGAACGAGATGGCTATACTCAGTACGATATATCAGATTTCAAACAAGGAGAAGGATCCAGATCTTCACAAGTGGATATGATGTATTCTACAGATATACCTTAAAATTGCGGCAATACTATCGGCATTCGAATCAACTTCATGTTAGACAAATACATGGGCGATTGAAAGCTGATTTAATTGAGCATATATGGAACAAATTTGGGTCTTCTCAATGTTACAGCTAAACGTTTTACGATTTTAATGTTTGTATGTATTTTTAAATTTCATGTAATGAAATAAAAATTAGGTTTTATAAGTATTGTTTGTTATATATATGAACAAAATAATAATAAAAAAAAAATTTGAAGAACCCCTAAGGGGTTCACCAATGGAGAGGCAAAACAACGACATGTTCTTAATTTCATTACTCAAAAAAAAAATTGTGAAAATACTCATAACAACCCTAACTAGGAGTTCTCTAATGGAGATGCTCTAAGACCACTAGAATTTTAAACACAAATACAACATGTTGAATTTTTAACTAAAATTTATTGAATCCTATTTTTTTTGATAAAATTGAAGCCTAGTCGATCTCATAAGAGAGACACTTCCCAAGCATAAAGTTATCATTCCAAGGCATAGGCGTCTCTACACACATCTCTGACGCCATCATATCCAACCCTGGAGAACCCGACCTGTCACTCTCGACCGACCAGAATGTTGTTGTGGCGCCGCCTGCTCAACTGAGGAAACTGGGGCTTTAGCTCATTTCCTCGATGTCCTCTCTGTTATTCCCGGCTGATTCTTCGGCTCAGCTAATATGGCGTCGAGCTTGACGTCAACCACTGCTTGAATAGATCCGTAGTATTTGCTGGAATCAGACGGAGATGAGCCGGTTTGGTATTGTAGGGCAGGAAATTTGGGCCAAGCTGAGTCACCGCGTAACTTGAACGCAGCGCGATCGTAAGCCAATGCGGCTTCCTCGGCTGTGTCAAATGTTCCAAGCCAAATTCGTGTTTGATTTGGGGGTAAACGGATCTCAGCAACCAATTTACCCCAATGCCTTTGCCTCACTCCACGATGGAGTTTAGCTGGCTTTGGGGCCGAACCAGGACCCGAAACTGGTATCAGTTGGGTTAGAAAACCCAGTTTCGGGTCAATGAGATTGAGCATACACTGGTTTCCTTGGTGAGTATAAGTGACATCATTTTGGTAATGTAACTAAGATTTGTAATTTTGATCTGGTTGTTGAAAATCCGACCCAAATGAAGATGGATAGGTCATGGATCCAAGATAAATATCCGCGTAGGATTCGGAATTGAGTTGGGTTGTGGGAAAAAAGAGGCACTTTGAGACTGAGGATTATAGTAAGAAGGAGAAAAGATGTCGTTCGGTGCAGACAGAAATGCAGCATTTGAAGACGTAAACGTAAAGTCTGAAGCAGACATAGAAGCACTTTTGTACAAAGGTTGAAGTGCTTCCATTAGTTCGCCGCCATGGCTGTTGCTGAAGAAATCACCCATCAGATTTTCCTGAAACAAAAATAAAATAAAAACTACAAGAACAAAGATTATATAAAAAAATGGTTGGAAAAAAAGCCTGTCTTTTTAGAAAAAAATCAAAGACTGGTTTTTGTTTTTTGTTTACAGGAAAATTTGATCAAAGAGATTTGAAATAAGCAACCTCCAGTTGATCAAAACTAAATCAATTTATCCACAAAAAAATATAATAAAAAAGGATCAAACTTGATGGAACTTAAAAATACCCATGAAGTTGATCAACTCTACAAATCAACAAAAAAATGAAAGAATATTGAATGACATTAAATTCATAATAATTTGGAAAATAACCATAGATCTCGTTTTCTGGAAAACACCCAACAGTTTCAACTATGAATGTTTTTTTTCTTTTTTTTTAGCCTAAATATTGTGTTTTAGATTAATTTTGACAAAAGATAAACCAATAAAGCAACACTTCATAAGAAAAATGTTGTTTGTGTTTTTAATGAAAGACAGATTATTAACAGAAAGAATCAAGGATTTGCTGTTGTTTTTGAAGATGAAATGAAGCAAAGAAAATAAGAAGAGAGAGAGAAACCCTAATTTCACTCCAAAATTACTCTTAATTTTTTTTAACTCTCTCTCTCTCTCTCTCTCATAACCCCATTTATGCAGAGGCTCATCCAATGAAGAAATACTATAATATTTTAATCCTGTTATAATGTATTTGACTGGTCCTATTTACGAAACAAACTTGATTCAAAGTATATAAGAATTTGAAAATTTGAAATACTTGATCTACTTATCAGATCACCGATCAATACCCACTAAAATCATGCAAAAAACCCCAAAAATAATTCCAAAAAACCAATTGTCTTATCCCAAAAATATATTCCAAACAACATTTATTCACAATACTTCTTTTTAGATATCCATGGCATTAATTTTCACAGTGCTTTTGTATGCTCAAGGCTAATTCTAAATATTTTATTTTTTCATTTTAGGTACAAAAGGTTAAATATGCATGGATTTGTTTTTGGATCTTTTTCCAAAATATCAGATATTATAAGTTGGGCATGATTTGACTTATGTATTACACAAACGTTTTGTCTAAATTTCAGAATAGAAATTTGGATGGATATCTAAAGAATAATGTCTTCAAACCAAAAACCACACAACCCTTTAACCTCACCTCCAGCAAAACCTGGCCCCCTCTTTGTACCTTCGCAATCAACAGAATTTTTCGCCTAACATTCTTAGCACCATTAGCACTGTTAGGAAAACTTCGACACAAGACACCAACACACTTTTAGCCGTAATTTCACCTTGACTTCTCCTCTTATCACGAACATGCAGTCCACCCCCTCCCTCCCTCTCTTCGGTCGGCGATAAGCTACATGCAGAATCAGGGGTATACAAACACGAATCATTTTAAGGGAAACTACCAGGAGATACATACTTATGCTCAGCAAGGAATTCTCAGAATTAAGGTAATAATTCCAACAGTCAAGAGGGCTTTCAAGCTTAGAATTCATACCCACCAGGTTTTGGAAAGAATCAAGGTCAGCAAGGTGTCTCTCAACAGCAAGATTTTTATTTGAATGGGGTTCTACAACAGCTTTTCAAGGTCAGCAAGAGACACAACAAAGAGTAGAGTACTATTTTAATGATCTCAACTCCAAAATTGACACATTGCAGAGTAAGATGAAGGATTTTGAGAGCAAGGGAGCTTCATCATCATCTAGAGCTCAGGGTTCTCTTCCACGGAAACCAGAAACAAACCCCAAGGAGTTTTACAATGCCATTACCTTAAGAAGTGGCAAGGAACTTCCAACAAGAGAACAGCCTAAAGTTCTGATTGAAGACAATGAGCAACTTGGTGGAGAGGTGCTTCCTGAATGATCAAGATAATGATGTTATTGAGCCAGAAGTCAGCAAGAAAGACAAGGGTAAAGGTCTAGGGCAAGAGAAGACACCTAAGAAGCCATCAGAGAAGACTAAACCCTTTGTTCCACCACCTTAGCAGCTAAAGCTGACCTTCCCCGATTGATTCAAGAAACAGCTACTGGAGAAGTATAGGGCATTTTTTGATAAAAAGAAGGAGAAAATTGAGATCACAATACCATTGGTAGAAGCTTTTCTTTTATTTTATTTTACTCTAGTGTTGCATTTTCAATTTACAAGTCATGTTGTTTGAGTCTTTACTTTTACAAGTCCTGTTGTTTTGAGTCTTTTATTTCTTTGAGTCTAAGCTGCTAGGACCAGAATATAAGGTCCCATTACAGCTATGTAATTTTTCACCTTTGAGATTAATAAAATAGAACTTTCTTCAAACTAAGTTTTCAAGAGAAACTTGTTTAAACCTTTGCTCTAGTCGAGACCAGTACCACTTAGATCAGAGTCTTCGTGTTTTATCACAAGTCTTACACAACTTGTGTGGTGCACATCGATCCATTGTCACTCAGCCGATTCCACCGATCCAGTTGGTTAGAGATGCTCATCCATTTGATTCAACCCTTGGCTACCGCTAAAAGCTTTGCTTCCGAGATTATATAAACTGTTGATAGCTTGATGCTTGTATCATTTTCGGTATCAGAGTTGAAGTTCCTTCAGCCCAAGTTTTATCTATCTAATTATCCCTTTTTATTTCTCCTTAATCATTTGCTTCCTTGCATTACATATATATATATATATATAGTTTGAATCATAAATCATTATAATTCTCGTTGCATCTAGTTTTAGTAATCATATCCATTTCGTTTTAAAAAAAGGAATTCATCATATCATATCTGTGCTCTTCGTGCATTTGATTCATTTTTGATTCTTGTTTAAGTTATTGCATCACAGAAAAGTAAAAACATTAGCCCTGATTGTTGTGTTTTATTCCAAGTTTAAACAAATTAATCAATCTTTCCTTATTTGTTCCAATCACGTCTAAACTCATTCTCTTGCTAAGCTTTAATTTATTCAGACAACATCATTTTCCTTATTTGTTTCCATTAGTCTGTCATTCTAAAGTTCAAAAAAAAAGAAAAAAATTTACATTTTGATAACTGAACTTGCCATATGTGTATTTCTTGATCAAGATTAATCACTTTCTTGTGGTGCTTTGTTTTGCGAGATCACTAACAAACATGGGAGAGAAAGTAGCAACAATCAAGATGCCCTCCAACAACTGATCTCTTTTATGAGAGATGAGATTCGGTTGATGAGGCAAGAGTTTGGTGATCGGCTCAACCGTGTGGAGCAAGCTCTTAGAACCACATTGAAACCAGTGTAGAATGAGGGAGGCCTTGGAACAAACAATGCCGGAACACACAATGCTGCAGCCAATACAAGATGCAATGGTATTCATATTAATGAGCCAGACGCCACAAACTTGGGAGAAGAAGAAGACTCATCTCAAGATGATGAACCAAACCCTTGAAATCGAAGGAACCAAGGGCAAAGGAGATGCCTATGAAGATGCAGATGATGAAGCGTACACACCGTGCTTAAGGCAGAAACCAAACTACATCAAGCTAACCACACCAATCTTTGCTGGAAAAGTTGATCCAGTGGCGTATTTAGATTGGGAAAAGAGGATAGATCACATATTCGACTATTGCAATCATCCCGACCCCAAGAGTGTAGCACTAGAAGTGGCTCAACTCACAGAGGTTTCACTTACACTGTGGGACAGAGAAGTCTCGAACCATAAGAGGAGACGCTTGAGAGCTATCGATACATGAGTCGACATGAAGGATCTAATCAGGCAAAGGTATGTTCCTCCTTATTTTTATCGAGACTTGCAGCGTCGTTTTTGAACTCTTAAGCAGGGAACCAGGACCGTAGAAAAATATTATGAAGAGTTTTAATGCTTGAAGAACCGTTTGGCGCTTCATGACGACGAAGAAGCTCTAATGGCAAAGTGGAGAGACACGTCTATCAAGACTTCAAAGTGGATAGACAAATCACCGATCAATACCCACTAAAATCAAGCAAAAAACCCCAAAAATAATTCCAAAAAACCAATTGTCTTATCCCGAAAATATATTCCAAACAACATTTATTCACAATACTTCTTTTCAGATATCCATGGCATTAATTTTCACAGTGCTTTTGTATGCTCAAGGCTAATTCTAAGTATTTCATTTTTTTCATTTTAGGTACAAAAGGTTAAATATGCATGGATTTGTTTTTGGATCTTTTTCCAAAATATCAGATATAATAAGTTGGGCATGACTTGACTTATGTATTACACAAACGTTTTGTCTAAATTTCAGAATAGAAATTTGGATGGATATCTAAAGAATAATGTCTTCAAACCAAAGACCACACAACCCTTAAACCTCACCTCCAGCAAAACCTGGCCCCCTCTTTGTACCTTTGCAATCAACAGAATTTTTCGCCTAACATTCTTAGCACCATTAGCACTGTTAGGAAAACTTTGACACAAGACACCAACACACTTTTAGCCGTAATTTCACCTTGACTTCTCCTGTTATCACGAACATGCAGTCCACCCCCTCCCTCCCTCCCTTCGGTTAGCGATAAGCTACATGCAGAATCAGGGGTATACAAACATGAATCATTTTAAGGGAAACTACCAGGGGATACAGACTTATGCTCAGCAAGGAATTCTCAGAGTTAAGGTAATAATTCCAACAATCAAGAGGGCTTTCAAGCTTAGAATTCATACCCACCTGGTTTTGGAAAGAATCAAGGTCAGCAAGGTGTCTCTCAACAGCAAGATTTTTATTTGAATGGGGTTCTACAACAGCTTTTCAAGGTCAGCAAGAGACACAACAAAGAGTAGAGTACTATTTTAATGATCTCAACTCCAAAATTGACACATTGCAGAGTAAGATGAAGGATTTTGAGAGCAAGGGAGCTTCATCATCATCTAGAGCTCAGGGTTCTCTTCCACGGAAACCAGAAAAACCCAAGGAGTTTTACAATGCCATTACATTAAGAAGTGGCAAGGAACTTCCAACAAGAGAACAGCCTAAAGTTCTGATTGAAGACAATGAGCAACTTGGTGGAGAGGTGCTTCCTGAGAATGATCAAGATAATGATGTTATTGAGCCAGAAGTCAGCAAGAAAGACAAGGGTAAAGGTCTAGGGCAAGAGAAGACACCTAAGAAGCCATCAGAGAAGACTAAACCCTTTGTTCCACCACCTTAGCAGCTAAAGCTGACCTTCCCCGATTGATTCAAGAAACAACTACTGGAGAAGTATAGGGCATTTTTGATAAAAAGAAGGAGAAAATTGAGATCACAATTCCATTGGTAGAAGCTTTTCTTTTCTTTTATTTTACTCTAGTGTTGCATTTTCAATTTACAAGTCATGTTGTTTGAGTCTTTACTTTTACAAGTCCTGTTGTTTTGAGTCTTTTATTTCTTTGAGTCTAAGCTGCTAGGACCAGAATATAAGGTCCCATTACAGCTATGTAATTTTTCACCTTTGAGATTAATAAAATAGAACTTTCTTCAAACTAAGTTTTCAAGAGAAACTTGTTTAAACCTTTGCTCTAGTCGAGACCAGTACCACTTAGATCAGAGTCTTCGTGTTTTATCACAAGTCTTACACAACTTGTGTGGTGCACATCGATCCATTGTCACTCAGCCGATTCCACCGATCCAGTTGGTTAGAGATGCTCATCCATTTGATTCAACCCTTGGCTACCGATAAAAGCTTTGCTTCCGAGATTATATAAACTGTTGATAGCTTGATGCTTGTATCATTTTCGGTATCAGAGTTGAAGTTCCTTCAGCCCAAGTTTTATCTATCTAATTATCCCTTTTTATTTCTCTTTAATCATTTGCTTCCTTGCATTACATATATATATATATATATATATATATATAGTTTGAATCATAAATCATTATAATTCTCGTTGCATCTAGTTTTAGTAATCATATCCATTTCGTTTTAAAAAAAAGGAATTCATCATATCATATATGTGCTCTTCGTGCATTTGATTCATTTTTGATTCTTGTTTAAGTTATTGCATCACAGAAAAGTAAAAACATTAGCCCTGATTGTTGTGTTTTATTCCAAGTTTAAACAAATTAATCAATCTTTCCTTATTTGTTCCAATCACGTCTAAACTCATTCTCTTGCTAAGCTTTAATTTATTCAGACAACATCATTTTCCTTATTTGTTTCCATTAGTCTGTCATTCTAAAGTTCAAAAAAAAGAAAAAAATTTACATTTTGATAACTGAACTTGCCATATGTGTATTTCTTGATCAAGATTAATCACTTTCTTGTGGTGCATTGTTTTGCGAGATCACTAACAAACATGGGAGAGAAAGTAGCAACAATCAAGATGCCCTCCAACAACTGATCTCTTTTATGAGAGATGAGATTCGGTTGATGAGGCAAGAGTTTGGTGATCGGCTCAACCGTGTGGAGCAAACTCTTAGAACCACATTGAAACCAGTGTAGAATGAGGGAGGCCTTGGAACAAACAATGCCGGAACACACAATGCTGGAGCCAATACAAGATGCAATGGTATTCATATTAATGAGCCAGACGCCACAAACTTGGGAGAAGAAGAAGACTCATCTCAAGATGATGAACCAAACCCTTGAAATCGAAGGAACCGAGGGCAAAGGAGATGCCTATGAAGATGCAGATGATGAAGAGTACACACCGTGCTTAAGGCAGAAACCAAACTACATCAAGCTAACCACACCAATCTTTGCTGGAAAAGTTGATCCAGGGGCGTATTTAGATTGGGAAAAGAGGATAGATCACATATTCGACTATTGCAATCATCCCGACCCCAAGAGTGTAGCACTAGAAGTGGCTCAACTCACAGAGGTTTCACTTACACGGTGGGACAGAGAAGTCTCGGACCATAAGAGGAGACGCTTGAGAGCTATCGATACATGAGTCGACATGAAGGATCTAATCAGGCAAAGGTATGTTCCTCCTTATTTTTATCGAGACTTGCAGTGTCGTTTTCGAACTCTTAAGCAGGGAACCAGGACCGTAGAAAAATATTATGAAGAGTTTTAATGCTTGAAGAACCGTTTGGCGCTTCATGACGACGAAGAAGCTCTAATGGAAAAGTGGAGAGACAGGTCTATCAAGACTTCAAATATCTCTTCCACTTGTCTATACAACATAAAGAAGAAGATCACCAACACAAGAAGCAAGCCACAAACACTTGGAACTCAAACTTCAACAAACCACTTGACAAAGGCAAGAGTGTGGAGATTGATTCATGTTTCAAAGGCAAAGCGGTGGAGACAAGCAAAGATACCAGACCAGAGGCTGTTAAGACTAATAATTCTCAATGTGCAAGAGATATTACTTGTTTCAAATGCAGGGGAAGAGGTCATATATCTCGCGAGTGTCCAAAAAACCGAGTGGTGCTCATGGCCGAGGCTGGAGATTACGATTCACAAGATGAGGCTGATATTGAAGGGGATCTAGACGATGAATATGGTGATATAGCTTAACCAGACACAGGAGAACTCCTCGTCACTACACGCATCTTGATTGTAATGGCGGAGCCAGCTGAGACCATACGAAGAGAAAACATTTTCCAAAGCCAATGCACCATAAAGGGCAATGTATGTAATCTTATTATTGATTTTGGGTCCCGTACCAATGTTGCAATTTTCACATGGTTGATAAGCTAGGCCTTGAGAGAACTAAACATCCACGGCCCTATAGGCTGATATGGCTCGATCATAAGGTAGAGCTTAAGATCATTTATAAAGTTATTGCGGTTGTAAACGGGGTATTGGTTCGTTCTACTAAGCTTCAGGTTTTAAATTTATAACCCCTAAATGTCTGCAAGTGCACAGATGTGCGCTGTAGTACTTAGGGTATTGATCCACCGAGACTTAGTTGTTTCAGTATGAATTCACGACAATGCTTAAATCAGACTAGAACTAAACAAGTATTGGTTTTGGTTTTGGGTTTTGGTTGTCACGAAATCTAAACTAGAAAGCTAAACAAGTAAAAGCAAACAAAAATGAAAGCAAACAGAAGCAAGTAGTAAGCGATTGAACAAGAGGCAAATGGAAGCAAGGAACAAGCAAATAAATCAAAGGTTGTAAACAATAAAAGACAAACGTTGGGGCTCAAGGGTATCGCAGGGATTCATGGACTAGGCTATGTCGATTTTAAACAAGTGATAAAGGTAATCAACTACGTATGTTCTAGAACTCGAGGCACGGAAGTATGGATAGCCTACTTTCACAGCACTAAACATTTATCTCTCGCAACCCTGGTCAGTAGTTTTCCACTCTGATCATGGAAGGGAGAAGATGCAATAGAAAAACAAGACTCATCAACATTCACAACTCAACTACAGGTAGGTTTCCACTCCTATAGAATAATTGCTCGTCTCACCCTAGTTCAGAAAATCAATGAAAGCTTTCGCAACATATCATATCAGATCGGCTTCTAAGTGGCCAGCAAAGAATCAGGCAGTAAGATTAAAGGCAAACGAAGAACATCTAGAAGATTATAAATCCTAAATCTATCGATTCATAAGCAAAGACACACGAAATTCCCTTTGAACAATCCCTTTAAACCCAACTGGGTAACTACTCAAACATATTGTAAATAATCATCATAGAGTATTGAAAGTTGCAGGAAATTAAAGAAAGGAGGGAAGAAAAACGAAGAACAGAGTTGCAGATGGAGGCGCGATGATGCTCTCCTCGACGGCTCCTCCTTCAAAGGCGGCGGCTCCTAGGGCTTCTCACACGAACTCTCTCTCTTTCTATCTTATGTCGTCTACCCTCCTTTAGGAATGACCTAAAGAGGGTATTTATAGCTTCTGGGGTGGTTCTGGACACTTAGGGCTTCAAAAATAACGAAAGGAATTGATCTGGGCTTTAATTAAGTCGTCTGAAAAGTGAACGACCAATGTCCACGGTCGCGGTGGCTCTACCCGCGGGAAAACAAGTGTTGGCCGCGGTCCCGGCACATGGCTATCTTCCGGAAATGCATTTTCTGTCATTCTTGCATCGAGAGTATCTGAAGATCTAACTGTTGGATTATCTCCAAACCAAGTGCATTAGAAATCTGGTTGGATCCTCTATGTTGTCTCAAATTTTGGGGGTGATCAGACGGTGAGAAGGTCTTCATCCGCTTGCCAAACTTCTGACGGTCTGCATTTATCCAAAATTGCTCATTTGTTCCAAATTGCATATCTTTTGCCCAAGTTTCCTGTTAAGTCTTTTGAAACTCTTAAACATTGTAAACACTTTAAAAACCATTGAAAACAGAGTTAAAACACCTGCATAAGACATAATTATGATCCATAAAAGTGGTCAACATACGGTGTTATCATAAAACAATAATTCTATTTAGCATAGGTAAATATCAAGATCAGGTATCATGTGATGTAGTTCCTATGCAAGCTGGTCATTTACTGCTAGGTAGACCATGAAAATTTGATAGAGAAAACTAGGCATGATGGTAGCACTAATATGTATACTCTTGTGCATAAGAAAAGAAAAGTTAGTCTAGCACCTCTTACACCATCTCAAGTGCATGATCTACAAACAAAAAATGCTTAATGAGAAAGAAAGTATCTCTAAGCCAAACTTTCTTGTTCAGCCTAGTTATGTAAGAAAGGGTTTTGCTGCTAAACACACAGTGCTACTTGAGCGTAGGTTTAGGTGAGCTTGAACTACCACCGGAGATCACCACTTTACTTGACTGGTTTAAAGATGTGTTTCCTGAAGAAATGCCTCAAGGATTTCCACCAATACGAGGCATAAAACACCAAATAGACTTCATACCGGTAGCAGCTTTACCTAACAAACCGGCTTACCGAATGAGCCCTGAGGAGTCTAAGGAATTGGAAAGAGAAAGTTAAGAAGCTACTAGACAAAGGATATGTGAGGGAGAGTCTCAGTCCTTGTGCAGTTCCTGTCCTGTTAGTGCCAAAGAAAGATGGATCATGGCGCATGTGTTTAGACTGCCGAGCCATCAACAACATCACCATCAAGTATAGATACCCGATTCCGAGACTCAACAACATGCTTGATGAGCTTAGTGGATCCACCTTGTTCTCAAAGATCGATCTCAAGAGTGGATACTATCAAGTGAGGATGAAAGAAGGTGATGAGTGGAAGACTGCCTTCAAGACCAATTAAGGTATCTATGAGTGGGTGGTAATGCCATTCGGTCTCACCAATGCACCAAGTACTTTTATGTATCTTGAACCAAGTTCTTAGAGAATAAATCATTAAGCTTGCTGTAGTTTATTTTGATGATATTTTAGTTTACAGCAAATGTTTATCTGATCATGTGTCACATCTTGAGCTTGTACTAAAGACTCTTCGACAAGAGGGCCTTTATGCAAACTTAAAGAAGTATGCATTCTGCACTGATAAGTTGGTTTTGTTGTGAATTCGCAGGGCTTACATGTTGATGAAGAGAAGATCAAAGTTATCAAAGAATGGCCGGTTCAAACAAACATCAGTCAAGTAAGGAGTTTTCAAGGTTAGCAAGCTTCTACCGATGTTTTTTCAATGATTTCAGCAGTATAGCTGCACCTCTCATTGCTGTGGTAAAGAAAAGTGCTGGTTTCACTTGGGAAAAAGCAAATAAACTACATTTGATGCACTTAGGAGTAACTCACCAATTCACCAGTTCTAGTGTTGCCAGACTTCAACAAAACATTTGAAGTGGAGTGTGATGCATCAGGATTGGCATAGGAGCTGTGTTGACACAAAGAGGGAAGCTAATGCCGGTTTTTAAGTGAGAAGCTAGGAGGAGTTATGCTTAACTACCCTACTTATGACAAGGAGTTATACGAACTAGTTCGAGCTTTGGAGACTTACCAGCATTATCTGATGTCAAGAGAGTTTGTGGTCCACACCGACCATGAAACACTTAAGCATCTTCGAGGACAGATCCACCTCAAAAGAAGACATGCCAGATGGATGGAAGTTATTGAAACTTCCCCCTACATTATCGAGTACAAGAAGGTAAAAGACAACATAGTGGCATATGCTTTATCTAGGAAACATGCACTTATCGCAACTATGGAAGCAAAAGTTATGGTTTTGAGATCATCAAAGATCTTTACAAAGAGGATCCGGAGCTAGGAGAGAGCTTTGAGGAATGTAGCAAGGGAACTTATGGCAAGTTCTATATCTATGAAGGATTTATGTTTCAAGACAAAAGACTTTGCATACAACAATGTTCTCTTAGGGATGTCACTGTCAGAGAACCTCATGGAGGAGGATTGATGGGTCACTTTGGAATAGACAAGACACTTGCGGTGGTGAAAGAGCAATTCTATTGGCATTCGTAGTGATAAACAGGTTCTCCAAGATGGCACATTTTCTACCTTGTGGAAAGGTTAATGATGCTTCTCAAACGGCGGATCTATTCTTTAAATTTTGTGAGCTTACATGGAGTACCAAGAACTATTGTATCTGACCGAGACAGCAAGTTCTTGAGCCACTTTTGAAGAACATTGTGAGAAGCTTGGAACCAAACTCTTGTTCTCTACGATTTGTCATCCTAAAACAGATGGCCAAACTGAGGTGGTGAACAGAATCTTGTCCACTTTGTTAAGAGCTACTCTTGGAAGAAATATGAAGATCTGGTTGGAGTGTATACCTTTCATAGAATTCGTTTACAACCGAGCTCAACGTTAAGCTATAAAAATGTCCCCATTCTAAATAGTCTATGGATTCAACATTAATACTCCAATGGAATTCACACCATTGCCACCAGCTGAAGCCGTCAACAAAGGAAAACTTGAAAAAGAGGACAAACCAGTATGTGAAACACGCCAACAATGGACGCAAGGAGATTGTGTTTGAACCAGGAGATTGGGTGTGGCTGCACATGAGACATGAGAGATTTCCAACCCAAAGGAGTTCAAAACTAGCACCAAGAAGAGATGGACCCTTCAAGATACTCGAAAAGCTCAACAACAATGCCTACGAACTCCAACTACAAGGTGAGTTTAACATCTCTTCGACTTTCAATGTATCTGATCTAGCTCCATATATTGCAGATAATCGAGTTTTGATGTCAAAACCTCTTGAAGAGGGAGGTAATGATGAGGCCATTCAAGCAGAGCCAGACTTAACTGAGCCACAACTACAAGATGTCGAACTACCAATCATTCATGAAGACCCAATAACAAGACAAAGAGTTAAGATCCTCCAACAGAAGTACAACCAGAGCATGATGCAAGCAAATGGGCCAACTGCAAAGAATCAAGACTTCTGGCACCATTTACTGAATCAATCCCAAGTCTATGATTGCGTGCGTGGTGAGGGTGTCAAGTTTTACCCTAATGAAATCAATAAGCCGCAAGTTCACAGCTGATTGATTATAGTAGTTAGGGATCGAATCTAGAGGGAAGGAAGTCTAGTACAAGGCGATGTTTTAAGGGATTTTGGTGGTGTCTTTAAAACGTAAAAACTAATCTAAACGGGAAAATACTTGAATCAAATTGACCTAATAGTTAAACCGAATAAAATCGACTAAAAATTAGGAAAACCACTAGACCTAAATTGCTTATTAAAATCGGCTGGTAATAAAGAAAATACTAGCCCTAAAAACTTGAATGAAATCGCTGGAAAACATATAGAAATGAGATGCTAGTTTTCAGGGAAATTCTCTTCGAGGATGAACGATTCAAAACATTGCTAAAAAGTAAATTAAAAGATCATAGCTAAAACTTTTAGAACTTGAGTCAAGAACGTATGAATATGCCACTGTCGTGGTCATAACCAACTATCTCTCGCAACCCTGACCAGTAGGTTTCTACTCTGGCCTTGGAAGGGAAAAGATGCAAGCTTGCTTAAGACTCGTCAACATTCACAGTTCGCCCATAGGTAGGTTTCCACTCCTATGGTTGATCTGCCCTTCTCAAACTAGATCTGGCCCCGGATGAATACTTTTGCAACACCAAGGACCTAAATAATATTAGATTTCATGACGCTACTCCCATGCATTATAAATAAGTTTAGAATAGAAAGTTCTAGGATTCAGCTTTAATAGCTAATGGAATCCTCACTGAACATGTATAGCCCCCATCGAAAATCCCTTAAACACAACAAATAAACTACTCAGACATGATTAAAGAAAGCAAAAACATTGTATTAAAAAGCTGTATTGAACTCGATATGGTAAAGAACCAAAAAGGGTTAAGGATATAGATTTTTATCTCCCTAAACCTAGAACTAAGAAATTCAAAGACAAAAACTTAAAAGCTGCTAAAAGAAAAACTGTATATCGTCTAGGGTTTTTTAATATATTTATGGAGTGTACTCAGGTTACAGGTGATCTTGATGCTCTCTGGCTTCAAGAAGTTGTGAACAAGGGTGCAAGTTGGAAAATCGGCTAACTACACAAGATGCCACAGGTGGAGGCCACGGCTTGTTTAACTCATGGCATGGCTGTTTCTTTAAGCAAGATTCACTCTGGAGTTGCCACTACTTGGTGCCAGATAATTCTTGGTCGTGGCAAGCTTATTTCCAAAAGAAAATTTGTTCGGGGCTTGCCAAGACTTGAAGCCACGAGTAAGGATAAGGCGTGGCATGTAGAGCAATGCGTCCACAACTTGAAACCACGTTTAAAACCAAATCGTGGCACGGAGACAAACTCGAGCACAAGCCCAGAAACGAGTGCCATGGCATGGTGCCACGGGTTGATGCAATTCATGGCAAGATGAGCAACAAAACTCAATTCATTCGTTGGAGACCACAATAAGAAGCCACATGGGTTTCTAAGGCGTGGCACGAAGAAACACTTAGGCACCAACCCAGAAATGAGTGCCATGGTCTGATGCTACAGTCAAGATCAATTCGTGGAATGGATGGTAAACAAGACATAATTCATTCAGTGCTTGCCACGGTTTGAAGCCACGGTTTGAACAAGTCGTGGCATAGAGTTTTGGCCTTACATATTTTCATATGGTGTGTGTGTCATGAGATGAAGCCACGAAAGGTTGAAACCCGTGGCAAAGTAGTGAAACAAGGCAGCAAAACACTTGGTGGTTGCCACGAGGGTGAACCACAGGCAAAAACAAGTCATGGCACGAGAGAAAGATCGGGTAACAAAACCCAGAAAACTATGCCATGGGATGCGGCCATGGGTGGAACAAGTCATGGCAAGGGAGTGAGGACATGTTGAACGGTCAAAGTAGATCTATTACCCAGCATTCCAAGGGGTAAACCTGACACACACGACCCTTTCTGCTCTAAAAACCCGAGTTTGCTTCTCTAACTCCATTCTTGCACTTGTTTTTACCACAAGTCTCTCAATTCTTGGCCAAATTGCTTGATTCAAAGTGCATTGAGCTCGTTTTCCTGCTGTTAGTCTTATTTCATAACCGAATTTGACTCGTAGCACATCAATCAAGGTATTTTGTCTGTTAAAATTCATCTTTTTCACTGATTTTAATGGTGATTCTTGAACTTGCAATGTATGAAATCAATTTTTAATAGGATGTTAGATACCTTGGGATTCATTTTTTATATGCGAAACAGTTAGATTAAACAGAAATCTTGGATTCATGCTTGGAAAAAGTTGTGTTCTTGAACGTTTGCCCTTTTTGGAACACAGTTTTAAGAAATAATCGATTTTTCAAAGAGTTTCTTAAGTCTTGATGACTTTTTGCTGGGCATTCAGATGTTTTGCATTGGTGTGAACTGGTTTATGATTCATAACTCAAGAACCCAAGTAACTCCATCATTTGAAAAAATATCGATTTTGATATTTGGTATTGTTTAAAGTCTCTTTGTATTCACTTGATTCAGAGTGTTATAGGATGACTGCAAGAACATCTTCCATTGCACGTGGGATGAAAAATCCTGATGAAGGAGAGAGTGCATCAGCACCAGCAGCTGGTAGGATTGTTTGAAAAAGAGGAGGCACCAGAAAAACCCACAAGAAGAAGAACGAGGAGCCAGTAGCTAAAAAGACATCAAAGAACAATGAAAAGGCACTTTTTGTAGACTCTAGCTCCAAGAACAATGAGAGGGCACTTGTTGTAGCTTCTAGATCCAAGAGTAAAGGCAAGGAGAAGGTTGTTGCTGCAGATGACGAGAGCGCTGAGAGTGGTGTTGAGGCTGTTGTTGTTGTACAAGGGGCTAAGAAGTCCAAGAAGAGTGATGATGCTTGATATGTTCATGTTATATCAACTTTAGCATGCATTTTTATACTTGTTTTGAGTCCTATTCATTCATTTTATGTAGTTTTCTTAGTGTTTTATATTTGTTTTAGCTTTTATAGGGATTTCATTAGGTCAAAGTGAGTCTTGCATGTTTGTTGTGTTATTTATGTGCTTTGGAGCCAACCTGTAGGAAAAGAGATGAGACCAGTGGAGAAAATGGTGAAAAAGATGGAGAATGGAGCAAAAATGAGTATCGGCCATTTCTGTATACCACAGGTCGGTTTTCTCAGCCAAACTCCGTACAGCAGACAAGAAACCTCGGCTAAAACACGTACAGCTCTTTCTACTCAATCTTGCATGTTTGAAGTATTATTTATGTGCTTTGTACATGATTCTCGGACAAAATCTTTGGAGTGCTGATACGCTTTAAAGATCGCCCAGGGCCAAAAGCTTTCACTCCTATTCAGCCTCCAATGTCTACATCAAAGTTTCTTACGATTGAGACATCTTTATCATGGTGTTGGAATCAACCGGTTCGAATTAGTGAGCTGAAAGTTATGGCCATTTGAAGATACACTTGTCTTGCAGCCAAAATCTAGACCAATTAAAGAACCACTGTACCGAAAGCCTTGCTCTCTCCGGATGCCTTGAAGCTCTTCAGAAAAGATGCTGGTCGTTGAGTCACCTTTCTAATGGCTTTAGAATCAGCCAATCCAGATCACTGGGTCGAGAGTTATACGGATTCAAATGAGTACATGTCCTATCGGAATTAGTTTTATCTTTGGAATACGCATGCTCAAGTGTCAACTCGTGGCAATGCTTCACTCACATAATCTGGGCATGTCACGAGTTGATGCCACGATCAGAATCACCTGTGGTGATGAAGGCAAAAACTTCTTCTCCAAAATGAGTAAGCGTCAAGCTTCTTTATGTCTTCTGCTTGCCGATTTGGATTTTTGCTAAGTGTTGGGGGCTGCCACAACTTGAATGCCACGACTTAATCAACCTGTGGCACCAGAGAACATACAACCTCCAAATTATTCTGTGGTTGCCACAACTCAAAATGCACATGAAACAATCCGTGGAATTTCCGAACGACTCAAGAAACATTTCAGACCAGGCCACAACATGATGCCACAACAAGATCACCTCATGGACAGCTTTTCTAGATATGC